GGGTACTGGTCGCCCAACCTCCCGCTTCCCTCTGCCTTCTCCCAGCAGCAGAGTGCTGTCCCCGAAGTCCCTCCCACCTTCCTCTCCAGAATGGCCCAGTTGAGGCCAGGACTGTCTCCTGGCTCCAGCCCTTCCCAAGCAGCGCCAGTGCCGGTGCCACTGGCAGGCACCCAGCCAAGCCCACTGCTAGTCCCCAAGGTGGAGCAACTGTCCCCCACGTCGGCTTGTGGTGAGTCTGGGGCACCCCAAGGAGCTCCACAGGTCACTGTGTTTCTTGCAGGGAGCTGGGACCAAATACTGCAGGAATGTTTCATTTCAGCTTCAATCCCAGCTATTTACATTTACCCAACTAAGCACGGATGATTTCTTTCTGTGGGGGCGGCACAGCCCCTTAACCTGCTTCCTTCTACAGGGGCAAAAGCAGAAATAGGAAAAGACAAAAAGGAGCAAAATCTCAGACTGTGGTTTTGAAAACCCAGAGCTTGGTTTTTGAGTGGGAAGCACCCTGCTTTCACCTTCAGAAACCAGAGTGGCAGCTGGAAGCCAAGCTCTAATGTCATTCCCAGTTTCAGTTTGGTGCTGCAGGCTGCAGCGCTGCTGTCCTCACGACTCTCCTGATGATTTCCGCTCCAAGAAATGCTGGGAATTTAAAATGTCACGTCCCAGATGTTCCCATTTCTGAGCGGTTGTAAAATGAGTGGGATTTGGGATAAGACAAAGCAGTACGGTGTGGTTGCAGGCTGGGCCAGAGCATCCCTGACAGATAAGCGGGGTGGTTTCCCTGGGCCCGGGGCAGTGCTGCAGGCTGCTCCTCTCTGCCTGTCCCAGCGTGGGACCCTGGTGCCAGCCCATCATGAGGGGCTGCTGCTGCCCCTCTCCCCGGAACATCACCTTTCCTTTTCCAGGCAACGACTGGCCCAAGCCCAGCCAGGCTTCCCCAGGACCCACTGTAGGTCTGGGTGCTGGCATCTCCCTGCACCACCCCCTGTCCCGTCGGGGCAGGACCGAGTCCAGCAAGGTACGGCAGGAGCAAGTGCTGCCTTTGCTATGGGGGCACCATCTCCATATGCACTTCACTTTCCCGCTGCCCCCCGAACTTCCCCGCCCCCCCATCACTGCGAGCCTTGGGCAAGCCTGTCCCCGATGGGGCTGGTGGCCCAGGGCTGTCCCTGATGCCAGGAGGTGCCTGACGGCACTTACTCACAGATGGAGAGCCGCCGCATCACACACATCTCTGCTGAGCAGAAGAGACGCTTCAACATCAAGCTGGGCTTCGACACACTGCACAGCCTGGTGAGCACATTGAGTGCCCAGCCCAGCATCAAGGTGAGAGCCCGGGGCTGCACGGACAGGCCAGCCCTGGGCATGAAGGGACACGGTGTGTCACCTGGGGGATACAGAAGCTGCCAAGGCTTGGCAGCAGGGGACACGGCACCTCGCACTGCCAGCCCCGCTGCACAAAGTGCGGGGTGCCCCCTGCCCTGCCCACCCCAGGGGCTCCCTTCGCTGTCTCGCCCCACGGGCCCGCAGGTCAGCAAGGCCACCACCTTGCAAAAGACAGCCGAGTACATCTGCAAGCTGCAGCAGGAGCGAGCGGCCCTGCAGGACGAGGCGCAGAGGCTGCGGGAGCAGATCGAGGAGCTCAATGGCTCCATCAAGTAAGGGGGGCATGGCCGGGGCAGGCAGGAGGGGTGGCCAGGCAGGGCAAGCAGCGGCACTGGGGAGGCAGCAGGACACAGCAGGTCTCCTGAGCACCTCCCAGCAGCTGAATTTGACTCTGTCCCTCCTCAAACCCTGTTTGGGGAGGGATGATGCTCAAAAGGCAGCGCTGTGCGGGAGCAGAACATGGGGCCATGCCCCACAGCTGCCCTGGAAGGGGGACACTGCCTGCCCACCCCTGTGAGAGCTGAAATCCTGCCAGAGTCTCCCCCCATGGGACAGCCCCCATAGCTCCAAGCCTCCCAAACCCAGGGCACTGCTTGTGCCCCACAGCCTGTGCCAGGAGCAGCTACCAGCCACAGGGGTGCCCATCACACGCCAGCGCTTCGACCAGATGCGCAGCATGTTCGACGAGTACGTCCGCTCCTCCACACTGCAGAACTGGAAGTTCTGGATTGTATCCTTTGGAGCCAGTGCCTGCTGCTTGCTCTGACCCCTACACCAAATGCCAGGTCCTCTGGTTCACCCACTGCTCCCGTGTCTGTGGGGTCACTCCAGCTTGAGAGGGTCTGGGGACCACAGTGAGATGTTTCCCAGCCAAGGGTACATGGTGGGAATGTGCTGAGATATCGTGGTTAGAAGGAAGCTTCTGTTACAAGGGAGCAAGTGGAGTAAATGATTAGTCCTTGGGGAGAAGGAAAGTCACTGGCAGAGCTAAGCTCACGCAGGAAAGAGCTCCTGGTCATATGGGAAATGGCTCCGAGAGGCAGCAGCCATCAACTGCGGATTAGGAAAGGTCCAGACGCAAAGCTGGGGACGTGATGGCTTGGTCTTGATGGCTGTGTGACACAACCTGGAAACTCAGGAGTGCCCATGCCTGGGACAAAGTCTGGGCTCCACACAGTGGAAAGGATGGAGACCGAAGGCTGGGGAGTGGGTGGTCAAAGGGCTGGACCTGCTTCTCCATGAGTAGAGATGAGACACACTGGGACCATTAAGCCTGCAGAGACTGTGAAGTCTACAGAATCCCAAGTGGCAGAGGGATGGGCAGGCATTGCTGCCCACAGTTTGATCCAGTACTGGCAGGCTGGGCAAGGCAGAAGTGGTTCCTGATGCAGAGTTAGTGAGCACTGTGGAGGTCCTTCCACAGGACACTGGGTGTACTAAAGGCAACATGGGCTCCAGGACATGCTCGTGGTAGAGGTGTCTCCTCTGGATTACTACATGCACAAAATCCCCAGTCCCCAGCAGTGGTCGGTGCAAGCTGGGAGCACCAGGGGAGCACACTGGACACACCACTGTCGTGCCCTGCTCCTGATCACTTCAGAGGATACTGTTAGCTGGCTCCTTGATCTGCTCTGGAAGAGTTGCCTTGTGTCTGATCAGCCATTTCTGGCAGCTCCAGTTGTGACAGGGGGTTACACATCTCTCCCACTGTCCGGGTGACACTCAGGTCCCCATCACCCCAGCTGTACAGGCCGGTGCCCAGCGTGGTACTGTTCTGAGGAAGGCACCCAGCAGGCCTGCCCCATAGCCAGGCAGGGAGGTTTGTCCTGCTGGTAGCAGGGTGCTGCCCGCACCTGGAAGGTGGGAGACCATGGTCTTGGCAAAGTTGGTCCTTAACCCCTCTGCTCCCATCAGTTCAGTATCATCATCCGGCCCCTCTTTGAATCCTTCAATGGCATGGTCTCCACGGCCAGCATGGAGACCCTCACCCAGACATCTCTTGCCTGGCTGGACCAGCACTGCTCCCTCCCAGCGCTTCGGCCAAGTAGGTGGCCCTGAGACCATCTGTGGCAACCTGAAGAAGCTGGGCTGGTCTGCTGGCATAGACTGATGAAAAAGCCAAGGGGAAAAGGATGAGAGTGTGCTGGGGAGGCAGTGGGGCTGGTGCTGTGCCACACTTCTGCCACATGGGAAGGAAGCAGCCACAGGACATCCTGGGGCTGCGTGCTTGGCACTTTTCCGCACTCTTTGCAGACCCACGCTCCAGCTGAGCTGGCTGCTGCTGCCCTAAACCCAGAGCCCGTGTCCTGGCTGTGCAGGTCTCAGCCCTCCCCAAAGCCCCTTTGCCCTTTCTGCTGGGGGCTGCGGCGTGGAGCTGTCGTTGCGTTTCAGGGAATGGAGCGGGGATGAGAAGAGCCGTGTGCTCCAGGATTTAACCCGTGCCCCTTCCAGCCCCCAACGCATGGCGGGGGGGTGGGTGTGGGGGGTGCGTGGGGGGTGTGTGTGTGCAGCTGACACGTCTCGCATCTCCCCGCAGCCGTCCTGAGCTCCCTCCGCCAGCTGAGCGTTTCCACCTCCATCCTGAGCGACCCAGCCTGCCTCGCCGAGCAGGCATCGCGGGCGGTGGCAGGGACGGGGCGCGGCGGCGGTTCCCCCTAGCCGCCCCCCGGGGGGGGCTCTCCCAGCCCTGCCGAGGGCCCGCGGTGCTGCCCGAAGAGCACCTGCCACCGCCGGCCAGGAGCCCCCCGGGCAGGGGCAGCGCTGCCCGGCGGTGCCAGCGGCCGGGGGGGGGGGGGACCCCTGGCCCGAGGCGGCGGTGGGGTGCGCGCCAGAGCGGGGGAGCAGCGCACGGGATGCTGCGCGGCGTGGGGGGGGGGGGGCCCGGCCGGGTGATAAAGCAGTCGGGTGGCCCACAGCAACCGGCGTGATTCTGCCTCGGGTCTGCGCTGCGACTGGGCAGGGGGGAGGCGGGGGAGGGACAGGTGAAGGCAGGTGGGGGAAGGGGGGAAAAGGGGTGGCGGGTGAGGGCAGGGGGGGGCAGGGGGGGGTCAGTGCCTATCCGGGGGCGGGGGGCGGAGGGGTCAGGGGCGGGGCAGTGGGGGTCGGGGCGCGCCAGGGGGTCAGTCCCTATCCAGAGGGGGGGTCGAGGAGGTCAGGGGGAACGGGGGGGGGGGGGGGGGGCCGGAGGGGGTCAGTCCCTATCCAGGTTGGGGGCGAGGGGGTCGGAGGAGTCGGGGGGGGGCAGTGGGGGAGAGGGGGGTCGGGGGCGGCAGGGGGAACGAGGAGGGCAGGGACGGGCTGTAGGGGCTAAGTCCCTATCCAGGGTGGGGGCAAGGAGGTCGGGGGAGTCAGGGGGGGGCAGTGGGGGAGAGGTGGGTCGGGGGGGGGTCAGTCCCTATGCGGGATGAGGTGGAGGGGGGGGGCCGGGGGGGTCAGTCCCTATCCGGAGGGGGCGGGGCCGGGCAGTCCCGGGGCCGTTTCCCCTCTCCGCCGGCAGGGGTCGCGCTGCGCGGGTCTCGCGGCGGGGAGAGGAGGAAGCGGCGTGGAGCCGCGCGTAGCCCCCGGCGCGCACGCGCGCGGGGCGAGAGTAGCCGCGCCGCACGGGGCCGGCGCCTCGGCGCATGCGCGCTGCGCCCGGCGCCGCGGTGCCGCCCCGCTGAGGTGGCGGCGGGAAGATGGAGGCGGCGGCGCTCGGCGGGCCGGTGCTGCCGGCCGCCATCGCCCTCCTCCTCCTCATCGCGCTACTGCTGGCGGCCGCTCGGCGCCGCGCCGCCCCGCGGGGGCTGCCGGACGGGCCCCCGGACGGTGAGTACCGGCGGGGGAGGGCGCGGCTGGCCGCGCCGGGGGACGCGGCGCCAAGCCGACCCTGCCCTCCGCTCCCCACAGGTTCCAGGGCGAACGGCGATGCTGTCGCCAGGCCGGAGGAGCACAGGAAGGTGAGGGTGCTGACGCGGTCCCGGCGGGACAAACCGCAGCAACACAGCTTCGCCCACCGGCTGCTGGTCGCCGCCCTCAAGGTACTGTGTAGGCCCCGGTGCCTCCTGCCCCCCCGGCGCCGCTCCCGGCCGTGACCCCGCTCTCTCCGTAGGGCCATAGCGGCTCTGTGTCCTGCCTGGATTTCAGCAGCAACGGCAAGTACCTGGCGTCGTGTGCTGATGACCGCACAGTCCGACTGTGGAGCACCCGGGACTTCACGGCACGTGAGCACCGCTGCCTGCGCGCCAATGTGGGGCTGGACCACGCCGAGCTTGTCCGCCTCAGCCCAGACTCACGGTAGGGCCAGGCGTCCCCACACTTCACCTGTACCCAGCCCAGGGATCCCGTGGGGCGTGTCAACACCAGGACGTCCTGTGGACGGAGCTGCTGGTCACACAGCCCAAGCCTGGGTTGGGAATGGGATGTGTTCTCTGGGCTGCATGGAGGCGACATCCCTCACGGGGTCTTAGCGGTACCGCTGCTTTGTGGCCTCTCATGAAAGCACCTAGCATTTTAATGTGGTTCTCAAGCAAATATCCCAGTGCCCAGCTTGCTGCACCCGTGGAAGGTGCTTGTTAAGGTCTTTGCCAGCAGGCCCTGTAGCTGGGTTGAGTTGCTGAGCCTCTCCAGGGGCTGGGGAGAAAGCTCTTGCTGGCTGGGAAGCTTGGTGGAAAAGCATGCCTTGACACTTTGTGAAGTGGCCTCCTTTAGAGAGAGGAAGGGATCTCATTTCCAGATGTGGAGTAATAAATTCCGTTCTTTTCCATTCCGTGCAGCAGTTGAACTAACAGAGAGAGAACCTGCTGTCCTTGTAAAGCGCGCAGCTCTCTATCTGACAGTGTATCCCTTTCCCCAAGTGCCACTAAATGACTAGCTGTTGCAGCTAGGCTGAGCTGAGGTAGCCTATTTCTTAACAGTTCAGAGTGTCTGTCCTTCCACAGGGCATTCATTGTCTGGCTGGCGAATGGTGAGACTATTCGTGTCTATAAAATGACTAAGAAGGATGATGGCAGCTTCACCTTTACAGCAACTTCTGGGGACTTCCCAAAGAAGCACAAGGCTCCCATCATCAATATTGGAATTTCAGAGACAGGTATGGAAGTGAGCTGCTCACTTGTCGAGGCTTAGGATCGGCTTTGATTTCCTTGTAAAGAAAGAGCTGCTGGATTGAAAGTGTTGGGGGTTTTGGCATTCTCAAGGCCTGTGTCTGCACCAGTCCTTGATTCTCTGTAGTCACTTGGGTGTTACTTTTTAGCCTTGGTTTACTACTGAGTGAACTGAAAGATGTCATTTTCAGGCAGATTATATTCCTCTAAGCACAGTACTAGCTCCCCAATATGCACAGTCTCTTAATTTACCTTTTTCGGGGATGCTGTTGCAAAGAGTTCTGGTCTCTGTTGAGAGGATCGCTGTTTTCTGACCCACCAGTCTCTCTTTAGCCAGTCAAAAATCTCTGTAGTGAGTTCATATGGTCTATCTTGGACTTCTGGGATCTTCTAGAACAGAGGCTGGGACAGGGGGGTATGTGTTAGTGGTGAGGGCTTGATGGATTAATGCTTCAGGTATGTGACACCAGGCACTTGGAAGTGGGTGGATGCAAGTTCACCTCTGTAATAGGAGAGCAGAGAAAATGTTAACTGAGACCTTTGTTCAGCTGTGGCAGTGAAAACTTACACCTTCAGCAAGTACCTGGAAGGTAAACAGGCACCTCGCTGTCTGGACTGAGATGGAAAAGGGGAAAGCATGGCAAGTGGAAACAAGCAGGCGGCCAAAATGCTGACACGACCAGTAATCATGGATAGCAGTAGTGTAACCTGCTTGCAATCCATGACTTGAAAGCTACAGATATCTCAAGTTGTGTTTTAACTGACTGGAAAAGACAGTCTGCTGGGTTAGTCCTGTGGTTCCAGCTTAGTGATGAGCTCTGTAAGTGCTGGGGCAAGAAGCACATGTGGTCTCCGAGTGCCCACAGACAGCTGATGAAGCCAAGGGTGCGCTAAGGCATAACCAGAAGCCGAGTCTTCTGATACTGCTCTTCGCTCTGTCCTGGGAGACTGACACTCCTTGATGCTGCTTTTGGTTTTCTTGACTGTCCAGGTGCAGGGAGAGGTTGCCCTGCTTAAGGACTGCCCTAGGCCCTTGGTAAGTCTGTGGCAGCCTTAGGCCTTGGCGCTCTCCTGATCTTTACCTTTTTCCCCCAGGAAAGTTTATCATGACAGCTTCCAGTGACACTACCATCCTGATATGGAGCCCGAAGGGTGAAGTCCTGGCCAGCATTAACACTAACCAGATGAACAATGCCTATGCCACGGTGTCACCCTGCGGGAGGTGAGGGGTGTGAGGTTTTCCAGGCAGCTCCTGCTGCAGAGTGGGAGGCTGCAAGAGTGAACAGGGACCTCGTTCCTTCCCAGAGGACATCATCAGTTCAGACCATCAGCAGTTAGCTGTTGCTTTAATGTAATTTTCTGAAGGGATTCCAGCCACCAAGAGCAGCCTCTCCAGAAGGTCTGACTCTCGCCTGCGTAGTCTCAGACACTTGGTGGGTTGCTGTTGTGCCTCAGCACCGCTCTTCCTGTTAATTGTCTTCTAAAGAGCTGAGAACAGTTTTGGCCTCAAACAGGGGAGGTGGGACAATGCAGATGGCATATGCAAAGCAAACAGCATTTCTAACTTGTTTTTATAATTAACCTTTAAAGGGTTACAATTTACTGGGAGATTAGTTTATTGGGACAATCTTGCTTGCCACTCTGTCTCTAACTTGTTGTTGCAGGAAGATTTGCCGTGCCCCAAGCTCAGTGAGTTTGGGGATCAAAAGCATTTTGCTTTTTTACTTTGGCCTAAGAGCTTCTTATTTCTAAGTTGTTCTGGTCCCTGATGCCTTCCTTACCATTCCCTTTACCAGCCTGGTTTCAGCAAAAAGTGAGAACATTTTCAGATGACCAAAGTAAAGATTTGAATGTAGGAGTCTGGGCAGGTTTGCCTTCACAGAGCCCTGTCTTACACACCCCTCTGTGCAGGGGGGCTGCCCCTGGCCCCTGCCTTGCTCAGGAGGTCAGAGGAGAGCTCTGTGGGGCTGGCCCTGCAGCCTGGCTGAAATAGGTGCTCTGTGACAGATACCCTGTGTCTCTGCTTGTTCATTCACCCAGGTTTGTGGCATCCTGTGGCTTTACCCCTGATGTGAAGGTGTGGGAAGTGTGTTTCAGCAAGAACGGAGACTTCCGGGAGGTGACCAGGGCTTTTGAGTTGAAAGGGCACACCGCCGGCATACATTCCTTCTCCTTCTCTAACGACTCAAGGAGGTAAGTGTCTTTTACCCACTGCCTGAAGCAGTGTGCTCTGGCTCACCCTCGGGACGCGTGAGCTCACCCCTTCCAGCCTATGCCAGCAGCCTCTGCAGGGGGGCTGCCCCCACGCAGGGTTGGGGATGCTGTCCTCTGCTTTCTCTTGGGAGCCCAGAGTGACAAAACCCTGACTGGCTTGTGCCACCTGCGTATTCCCCGTGGATTTCCTCTTGGGGATGGCTGCTACCTGTGTGCTGGAAGGAGGATGAGGACTACATGTATGTACAGACTCACACAAAATTGCTCTCTGTCTGCAAAGGATTCCTGGTTTGCAGACGTGGCAGGCAAAGCGCTGCTGCCCAATTTCCTTGCACTCCCCTGTGCTCTCTCCTGGCTGCAGGATGGCGACTGTTTCCAAGGATGGGACATGGAAGTTCTGGGACACGGATGTGGAATATAAGAAGCAGCAGGATCCGTACCTTCTTCTGACTGGGAAGTGTGAGGTGACCGAGCCTTGTCGCATCGCCCTGTCCCCCAACGCTCACGTCGTTGCCATCTCTAGCAACGCAGACATTGTTGTGTATAACACGAGAAGAGGAGAGGAGGAGGAGCGCTTTCTGGCTGTGCACGGACAGTGCATAACAGACTTGGCTTTTGACACCAGCAGCCGCTACCTGGTGTCGTGTGGGGACCGCGCCATCCGCATCTTCCACAACACTGCTGGTCACCGAGCAGTGGTGGAGGAGATGGAGACCATGCTGAAAAAAACTGGGAACAAAGCCACCCGAGAGAGGCTGGAGCAGCAGATCTCCAGTGCCCGAAAAGCACTGGCTGCAATCTATGGCAAGAAGCAGTAATCCCCACCGCACCGTGGTGCATCCTGGCTCTCTGCTGTCGGAGGCAGATACATTCTGCCTTTGGGGATATTTTTTTTTCTTAATAACACTGAACAATTTGTAATAAAAGAGCGTGCAGACTGCATGCCCAGGGCCGCCTTCACTTGCTTTCTGACCGTAGCGACAGGGGGCCGGGTGGTGCATCTGCCTGGGGAAGGTGGGGGGGCAATGGAGGGATCCCTGGGTGACACTTGTGGCGTTTCCTTCCACGGGTTTGTCCCCACCCGCTGTCTCACCAGTATCCCAGGGGAGTGGTCGCTCAGAGAGGTTTGCTGGGCTTAGAAAAGGGGGGGTTTGTGTGGCGTTTTGTCGGGGGAGCTACCCAAGCTTAATCTTTGATCCTGAGTGGAAGGGGTTCTGTTGCAGTGCTTCAGTGCTGCTGGCAGCACACAGGCACGGCTCCTTCCACCCTGCTCGGGGAGCTGAAGCGATGCACAACCCGGGGCCGGCGCCACGGTGAGGGGCGAGGAACCCCAGGGCCGTGGCTGCCGCCGGCCGGGCCTTGCCCTGCCCTAAGATGGCGGTGCCGCGCCTTCGCTCCGCCCTCTTGCCCACAGGAGGGCGGGGCGAGTCGCGCAGGCGCACTACGTGCCGCCGCTCTTCCCCACCCCACCTCCCCGCTCCTTTTTTCCGGGCGTGGCGAGCGCGGTGACGCAGCACGCGTGGGGCGGGGGCGGGGCGGGGCGCGCGCATGCGCGGCGGGAGGCGGCGGGTGTTGCGGAGCTGGGGCTGCCGGGGCTGCGGGCGCCATGTCGGGCCGCTCGGTGCGCGCCGAGACCCGCAGCCGCGCCAAGGATGACATCAAAAAAGTGATGGCGGCCATCGAGCGCGTCCGCAGATGGTGAGAGGCGGGGCCGCGGGGGGGGAGGGGCCTGCCCGGCGTGCAGCCAATCACCGCACCACACGGGTGCCGGCGGAGGCGCTCCGGTGGCGACCGTCCAATCAGTGCGCCGCGTGGGGTGGGGGGCGGGGATAGCGCGGCGACAACCAGTCAGCTCGCACCGTATGCTCGGCGGCGTGGGTGGGACCGGAAGCGCGGGCGATGGGCGGGCGGCGCCACCAATCAAAACGAGGAGTGTGGGGGGGGGAAGGGCGGGGTGCGGCCGCGCTCTGTTTTGGCGTTCCCCTGGACCAACGGGGGCGGGGCGGGGCTTGTTGCCAGGGAGCCGCCGGGGCGGTGCCGGTCGCGCTAACGGCTGTGTCCGCCCAGGGAGAAGAAATGGGTGACGGTGGGTGATACCTCGCTGCGGATATTCAAGTGGGTGCCGGTGGCGGACAGCAAGGAGGTGGGTACCGCGCGGCCGGGCCCCTCCGGTACCGAGAGCTGCTCCTCTCGGCAGCGAGGGGGCCCCGCGCCCCCCGGGGGGCTGCCCCCGCCCCCGGGCCGTAACGGTGCCCGCGGCCCCGCTGCCTGCCGCAGCCATGCGGCGCTGCCGCTGGGGCTCGGCCGGTTTTCTCCCGTACACCCGGCCTTGCGTGCTCTCGGGTGAGCCCCTCTTACAGCCTGTGATCCTTTTTGCCTTAATCCCCAGAGGGCTTGTTTTTATTCGGTGTCACTCCTGGGTGGGTGTCAACTCCTCCTTTTACACCTGATTCTGAACGCTTCACAGCTGAGGTTTTGCCTCTCAGTTAGAAAAGTACCCGAAAAGGAAAGGGAAAAAGCCTACATGAGCACACCTGGGCTGCTGGGGGAGAAAAAGGGGAGTAGCTTATCTGGACAGTTGGTGCACCTCTCCGTCCTCTTGCCAGTTGTAGGCTCCTCTGACCTTATGTTTCTGCTTTTCCTTCTCTGCTCAAGAAAGAGAAATCCAAATCAAGTAGCAGCACTGCCCGAGAACCCAATGGCTTCCCAGCTGACACCTCTGCCAACTCCTCTCTCCTCCTGGAGTTCCAAGGTGAGTTTGGCTGAGCCCCCTTCAAGCTGGGGAAAGACTCTAGGGCCCAGCTGGGGTGTTGCTGGCTTGGGCATGCTGTGGCTATTGGGAAGAGCAGTGCACATCTTCAGGGCAGTTGTGCTGATCCACTTCTGGATCATCCCTTCTGAAACTGTTCATTTTTTCTGTCAGACAGAATCTTAAATCGGCTGTTTCTGGGATTTTCCTGTAGCAAGCTTCATGGGGAACTGGAAGAGTGAGGGCTCCCATCCCCACTTTGTGGTGCCTGCTGGGGGGAGGCCAGTAGCTGCCTGCAGCTGAGCCCACTGCTTTGAGCAGTGGCTTGGGTTGACCTTAGGATGAAAGGGCAGAGGATCTTCTTGATCTTGGTCTTGATTCTGGAACACTGCAGCCAGCCACAAGCAGGCCAGGCTCTGTGGTGGAGCCAAGCAAGGTTCAGGCAGCACATGGACTTGCTGCTGGAGCAGAGCGTATGCCTGTCCCCAGGCTCTCTGCTCGGCTCTTGGTGTGACCAAGGAAAATCGGGGAAAGAGTTTGCACCTCCAGTAGATGTGGTGAGGAGGTTAGTGGTGCAGGTCCGCCGTTTAGGACTGTTTTACCTGGAAAAGATACGTGCCAGGATTGCCACCCTGTGTGGAAGCAGGTGCTGAGTGTTGCTTCTGGTGTTAGTTTGTTGCCTCACAAACAGAAGAGGTACAAAACCTTAGTACACGGGCCAGGAGGTCTGCTTTTGAATGCCTGGGGGTCTCACAAGCTGCAGACAGGAGGTTTCGCAGTGCAGCACTCTGTATTGCCCCTGTGACTTCTGCTCGTTCCTTCGGGATAGCCCAGGGTTGCTCTCTGCCTGCTCAGACTCAGTCCCTGGGCAGAAGGATCTGCTCTCCCACGGGCCAGTTGTGTATCCGATGCCAGCCATGTCCCAGCAGGGAGTCCTGTGCCTAGCAGCCTATATGTTAATGGGTGACAGGGAATCCCCTCCACTCTAACTGCCTCTGACTGTGCTCTTCCTTCTCCTGAAGACCCTGGCTCTCAGTGCCGCCCTCGGCTGCCTGTGCCCCTGGGTCAAGGTGCTCTTCTTCACTAGGTGCTGTTTCTGCAGATGAGAACAGCAACCAGAGTTCCCTGTCGGACGTCTACCAGCTCAAGGTGGACAGCAGCCCCAACTCCAGCCCCAGTCCCCAGCAGAGCGAGTCCATGAGTCCTGCCCACACGTCCGACTTCCGCACGGATGACTCGCAGCCACCCACACTAGGGCAGGAGACACTGGAAGGTGGGTGCTGGGCTGGGAAGGGAGGAGATGGATGGCTGGGCCCGGGTACGGCCTGGCTGGAGCCACTGCTTGTCCGATGTGTGACTGAGGCGCTGCTGGAAGTGGAAAGTGCAGCAGAGACTTCTCTTTTCTGCTGGAGGCCTCCTCTTCTGGCTCAGCACTGAGCTGGGTACTGCCATGCTCCTGGCTTGGCAGCTTCATTAACCCTTCTGTTCTCCCCAGAGCCGTCCCTGCCTTCCTCGGAAGTTGCAGATGAGCCTCCCACTCTCACAAAGGAAGAGCCAGTCCCCCTTGAGACTCAGGTAAGGGAAGGGGTATTGAAACCACATCTAAATGCACACAGACCCATCTTGGCCCTTTTGTCCTTGTTGCTGCCCCTTGTAGCAGAACCATCTCAATGAATGGACTTGCTCTGCAGTCCCAAAGTGTCTTCCAGGAGCTCCCCAAACCGCCTGGCTTCCCAGGCTGTCCCCTGGTTCAGTTTAGGTGTTGAAGTGTAAAGAAGGGATGTGGAGGTGGAGTAAATCAATGATTCTGGCTAACCTGGGCCGAAGTGGGTTTCCCTTCCTCACAGGTGAAAGCCCGGGCTGTCCTCACAGTGTGACATATCCTTGCCTAGGTCCACATGGCTTGGTGGGCACGCTGAGGTACCATCACTGCCCATGACCTCTGCCTCTGGCTCTTGCAGGTAACTGAAGAGGAGGAGGACTCCAGTGCACCGCCTCTGAAGAGATTTTGTGCCGATCAGAACTCTGTGTGCCACACGGCCTCGGAGAGCTAGCCTGCCCAGCCCTGGGGAGAGCGCCTTCGCCAGCCCCTCGCAGAGCCGCCCGCCCTCCCCGGGGGGCCGGGGTGCTTCCCTCCAGCCTGCCCCTTCCCCAGGGATGGGGGCTCCTGCCGCTCGCCGCCCAGCCTGCCCCTGCCCTGCCCTCACAGGCAGGAGCCTCCCACCAGCCCTGGTGCAGGCAGCCCACGCTCCCCTGGGCCGGTGGGGCTGCCACCAGGACCTGCAAATTTGCCTCTATTTATTGGCTCCCTCTCTCCCTGTTCACCTGGCCCGTAGCGTGGGGGTCTCCGGTGGGTGGTCTGCACGCACAGGGGGGGTTGTCTGCGGGGCTCCCTGCTCTCCGCGGCCCCCCCGGGGCACTGGCAGATGCTGTTTGCCTGCTTCTGGCTCCCCTGCTTGCCCTCCCCTAGGCACCGGGAGCAGGAGAGCTGCCTTCCACCTGCACGGTCGGCTCCCCTGTGAGCGTAGGCAGGCGGGGGGAGTCGCGGGGGTGGGGGGCGAGGGGGGCGCGGGCCGAGTCCTGCCCTGCGGCCGCAGGGATGTGCTGGGACGCTGTGCAATAAGCTGCTAGTTTAAGCCATTAGTGTTGGGAGAGACGGGAGCGCTCCCCCCGTGGAGGGCAGGGACTGGCCTTCCCTGCTCTGCTGTTTGGCGCTGGCCGAGACCCCGCGGGGGTAGCACCCCCCCACACCCCACCCCCCCCCCATCCCGGCGGGGCCCGTAGCCCCCCCCCCGCACCCCCGGGAGCCGGCAGAGCAGGGGGGGGTCTGCGCCGGCCTAGGTACCCCCGGTGTCCCCCCCTTCCCCCCCCGCGCCCGGGCCGCCCCTCCCGCCCCCCCCCCCCCCCCCCGCCGCCACTGCATGTTCCGCCGAGTCTGTGATCGAGCCTGGCGAAGCCGAAGGCGCGGCCGCGCGTGGAAGTGGAAAGTTATTTTAGCACTGAATAGAATATTTTTAAAATTAAACTATTTGAAATACAGCGCCCGGTGTCTGCGGGGCGGGGCCGGGCCGCCGGCGGGAAGTTCGCAGCGGGCGGGAAGGACGGGACGCGCCGCGCGCCCGGGCCCAGCCCGGGGTCCCCGACAGCCCCCGGGAAGGTAGGGGGGGGGGGGGGGGGGGGGGGGCGGGGGGGGGGAGCGCGGCGGGGCCGGTGGTGTCGGGGCGGCCCCGGGGCAGCCCCGCCGCCCTCTGCAGCGGCCCCCCCCCCGGGAGGGCCGGGTCCCGCCGCGGGGCCCGGGGCTCGGCCCGGCCGCGGGGCCCCGGGGCGGCCGCTCCTCCGAGCCGGCACCTGCTGGGATCTGTGTTGTGCGTAGCTTCAAGATAACTCTAGAGCCCGGTATGCAACAGACCCCAATAAATTAGCTTAAATAACACGCCGTCTGTGGGTGTCTTTGCGATAGCCTGTCTTTGATTTGCCTGTACGTTGCAGATGATGATTTTTATTTTCCAGTTTATTAAATCTAGCGTGTAAGCCTAAACCAAAGGCATACAGTTTCTTTTGGCACATTGCCATATGTAATCGTGAAGTGGTTTTACTAATTTTTCATTTCAGGATCAGGATGGCCAGAGAAGAAGGGCAGCTGCTGATTAATTTGAAAACAAACTACCCTGATACAGTGGTAGATATTGGGAAAATAGTTTTAGGAGAGAGATCCAGAAAGAAGACCTCTTCTAATCAGAAAAGCCAGCGAAAGGACCTTTCTATAGCAGTGTGCACGTTGCTGAATTCAGGAGGAGGAGTAGTGAGGATGGAGAGTGAAGACAAGAATTACTGCTTTCAGGAGCACGGCATTGGTCTGGACATAGAGCAGAGCCTCAGGGGCTGCATCGACTGCACCGAGACTACCAAATACTTCACATGGATGCAGCAGCGTAGGCACTTGCTGCTTTTTGTTAAAACGTGGAGCTGCGGAGATCCAGAGCAGAAAAGTGCAGCCACAAAGCCGCGTATCTGTAGCTTGAGCACTGGTTTGTCCTGCAGATCTTTCACTTCAGTTGTCCCTATGAGTCCAAGCTACGCTGCTGAATTTCTGAGGAAGAGGGAAAGTTGTGCTAACCTCTGTGATGAAAATGGGCCAAGTGCTAAGAAAGCTCTGCTGAATTTTAATGGGGGAGAAAAGGAGGCCCCTCTGAACACCGAGGAGTGCAACATCCAAGATGCTGCTGCCAGGTTTTTAAAGAGAGACAAGCTGATGTTTGGAGAAGTCCTGGATTTCACAGAGACAACACATATTGAGTTTAAGAACTTCTCTACAGAGAATATTTTGAAATACATTAAAAAAATCCTCCCAAATTATGTCTCTGCCTTTGCAAACACTCAGGGTGGTTATATATTTTTTGGAGTGAATGACAACGGTAAGGTCATTGGAAGCCATGGTAAAGTGGAGAAAGAAGCTTTAGAAAAAACAGTAGCTGATACCATAGAATCAATGCCTGTCCATCACTTCTGCCGCTCTCAGGATGGCGTGCAGTTTAAGACTTATATCCTGAGCATTTATGACAAAGCAGAATGCTTGCAGGGCTACGTATGCGCTGTGCGAGTTGAACCGTTTTGCTGCGCTGTTTTCCACGATAACCCTGAATCCTGGATGGTGATGGGTGACAGGATTGAAAGACTGAGCGTCAGGAAATGGACGGAGCACATGACAGCTGCAGACCCAGGTAAAATCTGCATTTATATTAGTGCCAGCTTTGTTTCTGCCTTAGTTTGTAAACTTCCAGGAGGAAAGACCAACTTGGTTTGTTCTCACCAAACTTCCAAGGGCCTTTGGCCCGTGGCACAGCCACAGGCTCCGGGGGTGATGGTGTGGTAACTGGCCTCCAACAGCAACCTGGTCTGTGAAGCATTACTCTCTGAACTGTTTCAGCAAGACATTTTGAAGCACTCCCGACTGGAATAAGCCTTCCTAGGGATCCCATATGCCCCTAAGTGAATTAGAAAGATTCAAAATTGCCCAGTAGCTTCATTTACTCTTAATGAGAACTGTAGAAAACTTTTGAAGCTGGCTTTGTCTGTTAAGATGCTTGGGAGGGAGTAGTGACCTGGTGGAAATCTTTAAGTGCCTAAAACGGGTTTATTCTGAAAAACAAAAATGTCCTTACTTTTTGGTGCTGATCCCCATGGAATGAAATCCCCGGTGCTTGATGCACTACCGAGGATTAATCTCCATGCCCTGGTTTGATCGGTGTAGATCCAGCAACTTGGCACAAATTGTGTGCCAGTGCTAAAGTAAAATAATCATTTTGGCTGTAATGGTGGTGTCAAACTGACCTGCAAATTTTCTTCTCCTTATCAAGTGCTAGTAACATTTGTAATGAAGTCAGCAACACTGGGGTAGCCACTAAAACTTGGTCAGTTGTCTCTTCAAAGATGAGCTGGAGAAAAGTCCTTTCAAGTCTGCAGCTCAGCAATCAATGCTCAGTATGCAGCAGGTTGCAAACCACCCCCCCTTTCCAAGGCTCACACGTATTTCAAATGTCTACCAGAACATCACTTTGCACACCTGGTGTGGCTCCGTGGTTGTTAATGCCTGCTTTGAAGGAGCTGGGTTGCAAGGATTTGCTTGTTTTAAGGCACGTTGTCCTGCTTCACTGGGAAATCCCTCTCCTTCAAAAGCTGTGTCCTGCATTTTGTTCCGTCATGCCACAAGACCTGTATGGCAGAGCCTAGAGAGTTTATTCCAACCATGGGTTTGAATAAGAGATTTCAGTCTTAAGATGAAACTAACCCTCCTTTCCCACAGGTTCACTGTAACACAAATTTCCCTCGAGTGTGTGCCCGTGGCAGTGACCGCCCGAGCAAGGAATATACTCGCTGGAAGGGACCTCCTGCCCCAGCACAGCCCCAGCACGCCAGGTGGCTCTGGCCTTGTGTGAAACCCCTCCCGTGGCCGTGGTCTGCACTTCGAACTGGGATGTCTGGTCTCTTCAAAGGACCCAGACACACAAAAGACAGAGAGGGTGATGCCAATAGAAGGGGAACAAAGCAGCAAGGTTTTCTGGGGATGTGTATCTCCTGAAGAGATCCGTGGTACACACAGGTGGTTCTGTCAGGTGCTGGTGTGCTGAACGGGCATGTCAGGGGCCACTTACCTGTGCACGAGGGACTCAACAGACTTGTTCCACGTGGCGTTTAGATTTTGACCTGTAAAGCCCTCTATGCTGTGAGCTCTCTCTCTTCTATAGCAAATCAGGATCCTGTTGGTTTGACAGAATACTGTCATTCTTAACTATGTAGGCAGCATTTTCTTGAGTAGGGTTCTGAAGGGAGGTTTTAAATTAATCATTTTAGTTACTCTTTAGTGCTGGATTTTAAAAGCTCATATGGAAGGATTTTGATGGATATAACATACTTTTTTCTTCCCCCAAGATCTTTCAAATCTGGCTGATAAATTTGAGAATGAGCTCAGCTTGGCAAATGGTCCTCCTCTTATCAAGCCAGTTTATTCAAAAGCTGGTCTCCAGTGTGTGTCTGAACTCCAAGAATGCCTCTATCCAGGTAAGCCATTTATTCTGGATTTTTTTTTTTTTTAATTTAAGATTGTATTTAACAGAACTTCTAGGAAGATAACATGATACAAATATAACATTCTAGGCAGACAACTATTAGGGTATTTAAAAGGTGTAACTGCTCCAAGAATGTTGACTTCCCGATTTTTCAGGTGTTCTGATCTCTTCTCCCATGTTTGCCACTCAGTATAACCACTAATGCACACAATTGCTGAGAATATACGTAGTGTCTAGGGGTTTGAGCACTCTGTGCCCCCTGTTATGCTCAAAAGTCTTCTTAGGGACAAAAAAGAGAGAGAGGGAATAATTTATTTCTAGCACAACTGAAATCTAAGTAGTCTAATCAAAGAATTATTATTCGCTAGGATCTAGTTACTACAGATAAAGAAAGAAAAAGACAATAAATGAATACCACTGTGAAAAAAGTAATATAATATCAATAATAACAACAACAATAATAATAATAATAATGATAATAATAATAGTTACCTGCACATTTCCTAGTATCCACCCTTGTTCCTGGTGTTACGCTCAGCTTTCCACTACCCCTCACGATCCTGCTATTGTTGGCTCCAGTCTGCCAGGGGTTGTTAGGGCAAGTTGTTGGAAATACGTAGTTGATGCTGATGGTTTCTTTTTCATACTCCAGGATCTGCTTGGGGTCACTTGATGTAGGTTTGCTAACGCGCTTTATACCTTATTCTTTCTTCAGTGGTCTGCAAGTTCACTGCTTCATTGGAGTTCAGTAAACACGGCGTGTTTCACAGAAGTCAGATACTTGTTCTCCATTACCGTTAAATCCAGTTTTGTTCAACTCCGGGGCTGCATTTCTTTATCTGACTCTCTGAGAGTTGTTTCTGGCCTTGGGATCTCCAGTGCTCTGTCTCTCACCACCCTACACCGAAATTCATCCCTGTGTCCTGTATCCACATCTCAAGACCTCTGCTATCCTACCAGACCTGTATTTCTGCACTCTGAATCACCATGTTATAGGCAGAAAGATCTTATCCTGCGCCTAAGACCTGCTTGTTGCTACTGTCTGTATAAATTGATGGTTGTTATCCACAGCCACCTGGTTATTAGAAAAAATGCTATTACAGGCAAACCAAGTGAAAACAAAGCTCCAAACAGGTCAACAAAAACTCAAAGCATCCAGACAAGCCTCTGACCTGAGGCCTTGCAAACTCAGTACACTCCCCCCGGCCTGGTCCTAGCAATGCTGTGTTGCTGGTCTGCAGAGCTAAGCACCAAGTATGTGGGTGTTTGACGTCGGCTTAGACATCTCACCCAGTAAGTTAATTCTGCCACCCTGCTCACGGCCACAGGGGAACTTCAGGCTGGGACACACAAGGGAAAGGAAAGCTCAGCCCATACCATGCGGGGGTGGAGAACCTTGCCTTGGTTTTATTTTTTAGGTGAAAACTTTGATTATTTCAGGAGCACTTCAGCTATAAAAGCACCGATGGTTGC